ATTTTTCATCTTTATTAACACAAACAGAGGTTAAGAATAGCACAGGAAATGTTACAGACCATCAGCTGGATGAGAAAGATACTATATTCCTTTCTTCTCGCTGCTTTAACAAATTACTACAAACTTAGTGGCCTGAAACAACACAGATTGTCTTACAATCCTGGGGGATGGGGGTCCAAAATGGGTATCGATGGGCCAAGATCAAGGTGTCTACAGGGCTGTGCTCTCTGGAGCTCTAGGGGAGGATCTGTTTGCTAGCCTTCCCCAACTTCTGGCCACATCGTTTCCTGGCTTGTGGTCTCTTTCTCCATCTTCAAAGCCAGCAGTGCTGCATCTAATAATCTGCATCTGTTACCACATCTCCATCTCAAACTTTTGACACTCCTGCCTTCCTCTTATAGCGACTCATGTGATTACATAAAGTCCACCCAGGTAGCCCAGGATAATCCACCCATCTCAAATCCTTAACATAATCACATCTGCAAACTTTCTTTTGCCATGGAAGGTAGATAACACAATCATGGGCTTCTGGGTTTCAGATGTGGACATCTCTGTGGAGCCGTTATCGTACCTATCCTTCCTCAAGAGGATACCTTCCTCACAAATACCTTCCTCAGAGGGCATATGCAGTCACTGATTCCTACCCCACTGGAAGAGGGGCAGGAGGGGGATGAAGGAAGCATCAAAGCATTTACTAGATGCCCAAGCCTGGTACTTTTGCTCTCCGTCTTGTGGCCTGAGCACTGGGATTTTTGAAACCTCCTCAGACGGTTCCAGCATGCCCCCAAATTTGGGGAACACTGTTACAGAAGATATGCCAAGATCATACGCCACTACAATTGAGGGTCAAATCTGCCCTGAGATTTCTGGAAGAGAAGGGTCAAGGTATCTCAACTCTGGGTGCACATTACTGTCAGCTGGGGAGATTTTCGAAAGACTTTTTATTTTGAAGTGAGAAGAGAGTTGCAAAGATAGTACAGAAATTTCCTGTAGACCCATCACCCAGCTTCCTCTAACATTAGCATCTTACATAACCATGCTACATGTATCCAGACTAAGCAATCAACATTGGTACAGTACTGTTAGCCCAATGGAAGACTTCATTCGCATTTCTCCAGTCTTTTCACCAATGCCTTTTCTCTTGGTCCAGAATCCTGTCCACATCTTCCATAGCACTGAGACACTGAATCTAGTTAGTCTTTAATTTGTGTCAGTTTCTCAGGCTTTCTTTGCTTTCCCAAGACCTTGGCATGTTTGAAGAGTACCGGTCAAGTATTTTGTAGAATATCCCTTAATTTGGGCTTGTCTAACATTTTCTCATGATTAGACCATGGGTTATGGAATTGGGGAAAGATAATCGTTATTTGATTAAGGTGGTATCTGTCAGTTTTCTCCACTGGAAAGACACAATTTGAACTTTTCCACACTCTATTCATTAGAAGTGAGTCCCTACGTCCAGCCCACATGGCATGGGTACGTTATTCTCATCATTCGTTAGTTGCTCCATACTGCCTTGTTACCACCTCATTGCTCTTTATTGATAAGGTTGTAACAAGCTAGACCCAGCTAGTAAGCGGCAAAGCTAACATTTGAACTCATATCTCCCTGACTCTAAGCCATGTTCTTTCCACTTCGTTATCATTCATTGCTAAGTCAAGAGGATCTCACAGTCTCTAAAGTAGGAGCTACCCCTCAGCTTGCCTATATAGTGTTCTTCAAATCAGTTCAAAGTAGGTCATGAGATCAGTCTGCAGGTTGCACTTTAAATAACAAAATAGGAACTATAACAGGATAGAAAAGAGTATATCACACACATAGTAAGTATAGTTTCATAAAGCTTTTGTTTCTGTATGCTCTGTGTTTAGAGACCCTTATCTTTACAGTGGGGATAAAAATAGCACCTCCTCCAACACACACATACACACACACACGGTTGTTATAGATTAAATCAATTGATGTAGGTAAAGCACTTAGAAAAGAGACTGGCACACATTAAGCAGTATATAAATATAATGAACTATGCATGTGCACAAATGGGTCATGATGTAAAATGTATTTCCTATTGTAAACTGCAATTAACAAGTTAGAAAACACTGAACTCATATCTTTAGACCAGCGTCAGCAGATTTCTGACCTCCAGCCCACTACTTGTTTTTGTAAAGTTTTATCAGGGGCATAACCACACTCATTGGTGTATATATTGTCTATGGCTACTTTTGAGCTACAATGGTAGAGTTGAGTACTTCCAATAGAAGCCATATGGCCCACAAAGTTGAAAATATTTACTATCTGGTTATCCAGACCCATAAACCTTCCTAGAGGTCATCTCATAATACAAGTGTTGTTAGATGCCTCTATTGAGGCCATCTGGCCCTGTTCTGCTACTGCCCTGGCAGGCATGTTTGCCCCTGCAGACCATTCTGGGCTGTGTGACTGCTGGGTGCTTGGGCTTGAGAAGCTCACTACCTTCGACACTGAACTGGTGCCCACGCTTGCTTTATTTATCCACCTTCATGGCTGTTCATGGTGGAAAGCCAGAAACATGGTACACCGGTCAGAGTCCCAGTAGGAAACAGATGGCCATTCAAATTAGAAGAATTTGAGGCGTGTTTAATAAAGAAGCTCTTTACAAAGGGAAGGGCAAGGTGTAGGAAAGCCACAGGCATAGCAGAGTCCTCAGAGGCTAGTAAAAGCTGAGCTCTTACCACCCTTGGCAGGAGAGGACAAGCAGAGGGAGCAATTCCTGAACCTAGAAGGAGTCAGTCACTTGGAAAAGACCCTTAGTTGGAGCCAAGACCTCAGTCCCGGGTCGGAGAACCTGTGAAGAGGGAGCCAGAATAAGTGTCCTGACTTCACCTTCCTCTCTCCCTGATCTACTGTTGGGGTCCCCATTGGCCAAACTGAAATGGAAGCCAGATGGCATGAGACTCATTGATGTGGTCTCACCTTCCCAGGGCAAAAGGGCAGGGTGGAGAAGGTTGGAAAGTCTCAGCTACCAACACACATAGCATTGATTTAGAAATCCAGGCATGTTGACCGTGCTTAAGGTCCTCCAGACAATGTCCCCATTTCATCTCTTCAAGTTGAGAGTGTGGCCCAGACACCAAAGGGTGGCCACAGCTTTTACCTTTCACCACCTTGTCTTCCTAGATCTGTTAGGCTCCAGATGATTATCATGGGGTTAATCCTTCTGGATCTTTTCATCATGAGAAGGGTAGGAGGTCATGAATGGAGGCACAGATGAGCTGCTGGGGTTTTTGTGAGACTGAGCAGAGTCTGATTAATATTTATAGATGTTAGCCAAGTCCTTCCATCTCGGAGAGGAGCTATGTCCCATTCCCCTTGGTAGCCCAGCTCAAATCCAACAAACAGGTGAGCCAACCTGCGGTGGCCCTTGGGAAAAAGGACTGCAGCACAAAAAGCTAACTAGGCTGAGAAATGTTCTCACTGGCCAGACCCCTCTGCCCCCACCGCTAACCCAGACTGCCTCAGCTGGCATCTGATATTTTACAGGCCCCTGAATGCAGCCATAAAACTAAAGCATGTCACCCGGAGGGTCTTTCTTGGCCAGTCCAAAGCACCCATTTTACAGATAGGAAATCATAGGCTTACAGGAAAGAAGGGGCTGGTCAGTAGTCCAGTCGCCTTGTCGCAGAGCTGGGGATAAAATTCAGGACTAGGGACGCTCATCAATTTTCATATTTCTTTTACAGAAGATGGATGTTGAAGTCAGTCCCGGAGCCCTGGGAATGACTGTAAGTGCGGTCGGACTAGTCTTAGGCAGCTTTCTCATCAGGCTCAGTAACCGAGGCCATACACTGGAACCATCGGCCTCGGAGGCACCAGTTCTGAGGAGGCAGCATGTGAAGCACAAGCTTGAGTCACGCAAATCAGCCCAAATTCAGACTCCCACCTGTTAGTGGCTATTTTACCCTAATTTTTGTGTTAATGAGGCTCCATTTTCCAGCCCTATCGATTCAGCACTATTATCAACCACCGAGTTGTATTAACCCCAGTACATTCCAAGCAAGGACCTTAAAGTGTCCAAAGGTCACTAGATGACACTTCTATTGTCTTTCTTTCTTCCTTCATCCGGAAGAAGGGTAGAATATTTGCAACTGCTTTCACAACAAATCAGAAGCCAGCTAGTTTGAGTGTAGCCATTAGGGCTCTGTTCTCTAACCCTGAGAGACAGGGATCCCTGAGATGAGAGCAGAGAGGCCTCCTGATAAGCCAAGGATTTGACCCCACTTTCATGGACTCAAGTGTAATTAGTAAAACCTCAAGGTTCTCCTCCCTCCACCTACCCCGCCCCCCAGTTCTTCAGAGCGATGAAGAATTTAGATGTATAGCCCAAATGCTCGGGTTTTAAATTAGACAACTTTGTCCTGACAGGAACCGAGTCACGGCTGTCATACCTGATTATTTTTAGAGTCACTACTAAACTCTTTGAATGGTGTGAGCTGCCACCATTCAAGGCAAACAGAAAGACTTCACATTTTATCATGACAGCTCAGAGCCATCCACCTCCTCGTGTTCGTTATTTCCATCCTGACTGTGGAAGGGATCATGCGGCATCTTGACAATCTTACGGCAAGGAAGGCAGACCCCATGGCTCTTTACTACATCTGAGGGACTGAAAGCTCCCATTGCTGAGCAAAGCCTGTGGCCTCCAGGAAGCCAAGGAGAAATATTCTAGAGGAAGGGGCTGCTCCCTAGCCTCGTCTGGATGAACCATCATTGCTCATGAGAAGCAGAAATGGACCCTCAAGTAACCAACCAATAAGAGTGGCTGTATGCAAATGCTGCAGGCTGGTGAATGATGTCACAGTCCCCTCCTCTGACTCAATAATGCCACCACCACTGAAAAGGCTGACTCCTGACCGTAGCTCTTCAGAGAGAAAAATTCACCGCAAGCAGAGCACCTTCTAGATTGTTCCTGGAGTGTGGAGACAGAAGTCTCTGCTATCCAAGTTACTGAATCCAGAAAAAAAAAAATGACCTTATGAACATGGGAAAAGAAATTGAGCTAAGGCCCAAGGCAAATGTCTCTTCTTACATCCACTTTTTGCTGAATTACAGGAACAAGTTCAAGGAGCAGCAGCCAAATACCTACCTCAGCTTTAAAGAGTTCTCTAGAAAGTGTTCGGAAAAATGGAGATCCATCTCAAAACATGAAAAGGCCAAATATGAAGCCCTGGCCAAGCTCGACAAAGCCCGATACCAGGAAGAGATGATGAATTATGGTGGCAAGAAGAAGAAGAGGAGAAAGAGGGACCCCTACGCACCCAGACGGCCCCCATCGTCTTTCTTGCTCTTCTGCCAAGACCACTATGCCCAGTTGAAGAGGGAGAATCCGAACTGGTCTGTAGTGCAGGTGGCAAAGGCCTCAGGGAAGATGTGGTCAGCAACAACAGGTGCTGAAAAGCAGCCATATGAGCAAAGAGCAGCTCTCCTGAGAGCCAAGTACCAAGAGGACCTGGAAATCTACCGTAAACAACGTAAGGCCAACAAGGGCCACCAACGGTCAGCTAAGAACCAGCGAAGAGGGAAAATGGAGTCGGACAAGGCTGATGGATCCAATTAGAAATAAAATGTCATTCAACTGTATTGCCTGTCTCTGGTCTCCTGTGTGGCATTACAGCGGTCGTGGCTGCTGCTGCTTGGAGGAAGTGAGTGGGGTGGTAGTTGAGGTTGGGGTTTGGAAGCTGACCCTGGGGAGGGCTGGCTTTGAGACAGGTAGCAAAGGTGTCCACAGAGCAGCCCGTGAGGTCAGTACCTACAGAGCTTGGCTTGGGCAGGTCGGATGGGAGTCTCCAGGTGCAAAGTGGAAGTCATGGAGGTAAGGGCATCCTGGTTGCAAGTGGTTATCTAGGGCAGAAGACTCTCCTCAGGGTCAGGTGCATGAGCACCGGTCCTTCAGTCCTGCCATTCTCTTCAGCAGGAGGGCCAGAAGGCCTGGAGTTCAAGTTGCACTCCCAGTTCAGGCCCAGCAGAGGTTGAGAAACTGGAATTTAGGTGGGCCTTGGGGGGTTTGGTTTCTCCAGTAATTCTAGAACTGCTCCTCCAGCAAGCCTTACATACCATTCCAAGATGAGACTCCAGTGGTGATCCCTACTCTAGTGGGGATGAAGCTCTGGACTGATTTTACAAAAACAGACATTTGACTCTGCCCAAGTCCTACAACTTGGAGAAAACCCTGTCGTAATTTTGGTGGGCATCCACCCACTCATTTTTCTATGCTTATAAGCATAACACACATGGGCATGGACATTTGTTGCCTTTCTGACTACCCGGTATCCATCCCTTCTCCTCTTGTTCACAGCACCTGCCTCCATCCAAGGCTTGATCAGATGAAGTCCTCCAGTCACACTGATTGGTTCAGTTACAGGCATGTGACCCATGCTGGTCCAATCAGAGTGGACCACAAAACTTTTCCAAGGGATCCTATGGCCCTGTATAGTATAGCCCTGAGGCTGTTGTGAGCCATTTGCCTCATTCTCGGGCCCCAATGTTAGTCTTTATGGCATCAGGGTATAGTCTTGAGATTTTCATTGAAGATGAACCCACATATTCCATCTTTTTGTCTAAGTTAGTTTGAATTAGGTTTTCTGCCACTTAAAGTCAAAACTGGTAATTTGACACAAATCAGATTGTTTTGTGTCTGTGCTGTAACTATTTTTCAGGCAACAATATACTATGGGCAACGTTTCATATCAATATAGATTGATACGAACTATTTTGAAATGGCTCTTGGCTTCTTGACATCAAAAAGACTGGGCCAAATTGCAAAAATGCTTTTTTGTCACCAGGTTATGCACGCAAGAGGCTTCCCTAATTCCATCTCCATTCCTATTCCATGATGCACTTACACTTCATACTGTACTGCTATTTGTACTCTCAAAACAAAAGTAAAAAGGCTTACTTTGAAAAGTCTTATAGGACTGGGTGAGCCTTTAGGGAATAGAAGGTAATAGAGTGGAGTGATTTCAAAATTCAATGTCTGGAATCAGGCTATTTGTGGGAGACTCACATGTGGCAGATCCTGTGCTGGGTACCGGGAGGCCCCGCATAGACTACTGTTAGGTTCCTGCCCTGAAAGAACTTTCCTTCTGATGAGAGAGTTGGTTGTGGGCATAAGCGACAGCACTACAAGGCACAGTTAAAGTGAAGACTGTACAAAGTGCCGGGGTGGAAGCAGGTACCCCCTACCAAGGCAACCTTTGAAGTCTTCAGGGAGGAAGCAGCTTTATCCTACTTGGCAACCTTGTACTGGTGTTGGCCAGATTCCTGTTTCCCATTCCCTGTTTCCTACAGTTGTTGTTCCAACTTGGCTCTGCTTCCCCTGCAGCCCAACCTCCACTCTCTCAGGAGACGTCCTCATTTTCTAGTTCATTGAGAAAGCAGAGATCATCAAACCTAAGTGCTCTGTTTTCTTCTTTCTCAACATGTAATCCACACCCATCCCTTCCTCCTGGTCTCAAGTCTCACAGGAAGCTGTAATGCACTTGCTACCCTGCTTCCCCTGCCTCCTTCAGGCCTTTGCTCCTCACTGCAAAGATGCAAATCCTTCAGCCTCTAAGCTTGCACAGATTGGCTTGGTGCTATGGTACAAATGGTTCTGATCTTAATGTCTGCAAGACCCTGGGCAAATTCTCTTTCCTCTGAGTTCCTCCCCCGTGCAATGGGGATGATGCCCACCTTGCAGGTTGCTTTAGTGAATAAATGATGTAATACATATAAGAGCACTTGGCCAGTCATTAACACATAATAGGTACTGTGATGGGCGTCCTCTAGGGTGGCTGTCTCAAGATTCTCCCTGCTGGTATCCATACCCATGTATGATCCCTTCTGATTAAATATGGGCAGAACATGTAACTTGCTTTTAATCAATAGAATGAAGGAAAACAGATAAGATGTGACTTCTGTGATTATGTAATGATATATAAAACTCCATCTTACTACTTGATTTGCTCTAGAGATTCTCTGTGCTGGCTTGGTGAAGCAGCCAAGCTGAGGAAACCCACATGGCAAAGAATGGTGGTAAGTCTCTAGGAGCTGAGGGTGGCCTCAGACCGATAGCCCAACAAAAACTAAAGCTCCCAGTCCTACAACCATGAGGAACTGAATGTTCAGCAACTACATAAGCAGGGAAGTGGGCCCCTCCCCAGTTGAGCCTCCAGATGAAAACCCAGCCCTCACTGACACCTTGATTGCAGCATTGTGAGGTCTCACAGCCAAGCTGAGCTGTTGCTGGATTCCTGACCCACAGAAACCAAGAGACAATGTGTATTGTTTTAAGCCAGTAAGTGTATGGTGATTTGTTACATGACAATAGATAACCAATACAGTATTTAATAAATGCCTGATTTCTTATAATTCTAGAAGAGGCTGTCTTTAGCCTTATGTCTCTCTCTAGCCTCTACTTTAACTGTTTAATTTCCTTTCCTTTGTAACTTCCTGAAGGTGGAAAAGACCACCTCCATCCCTGCCCTGGGCAGAGTCCATCCTGGCTTGTACTCCTCTGTAGTGGTTCCAGTTAAGTTGTTTCCAGCCTGACCTGTGGGCTCCTGATGGGTAGCAGCTGGGTGTTGTACCACACTCCTTTCTGGGAAGTGGGCTGCCACACATCCAGGCCCGGCCCTCATACTGCCCCTTTCTGGTTTCCTGTGTGATTAATTACATGAATGTGGGTGGCCAAGTCATAGTTTTGACAACAGTCTGCATCGCCCCTGCTGAAGACAAATTCCATTAACATTCCTTTATGAAAAAGGCGACAGGAGGGTGTGAATCTGTAGGCTTCTAATGACTGTAATGTAATGACAGAGGAGGGAGGGAAGGAGGAGGAAGAGGAGGAGAAGGAGGAGGGGGAGGAGGAGGAGAGGTGGGAGCCTGGACTAAGTCAGTGGGCTAGAGGAGAAGCAGGCAGGAAGTGTGGTGTGGAGCCAGCACTCCAGACCCACTCAGGTGGGCTCTGTGCCCCTGCCCTTGGGAAGAGGAAGGCAGTCTTTGGGCCCACTGCTGTCTCAATGGCTGAATCACTGCACTCTGATCCTTCTCTCCTAAAGCTTTTCCTATGTTCATTTATTCATTCATTTATTCATTTATTCAACAAATATTTATGTAAATCTTATGCTTGCAATATACCAGGAACTGTTCTGATGCTTGGAATAAAGCAAGGTCTGTGATCTCTTACGTTCCAGGGAGGGGAAGACAGATAATAAGTCAACAAATAAACACACCGGATCATTTTTTGATAGTGCCAAGTGCTCCAAAGAAAATAAACAAGGGTAATGAGATAAACAGTGACAAGGGAGGTTGAGGGCACGTTAAATCAGTGGCCAAAGATGACATCTGAGTTTGGATTTAAAGGACAAGTAGAAACCAGGCATGCCAAGGTCTGAAGAAAGGGTTCTTCAAGCAGTGGGACAGCTAGTGCAAAGGTCCTGAGACAGAAGTGAGCTTGGCATATTAGAGGGAGGGAAGGGAGGCCAGAATGACAAGGTGTGAGCAAGTGGATGCCTTGCAGCTGGAGAGGGGCAGACCTTAGAAAGGAGTTTATTTTAACATCTAAGTACAGTGGGAAGCCACAGAGTTTTCTGCAGGGCGAGCCATGTACATCCACTTTGATTTCTGGTTATTGGGCATTCTAGAGTCTTCAGAGACTACCAAGTGCCAACAAGGAGATGCTAAACCCTCTAAGGTATGCAAGAGCTAGAGGCAAGGTTAACAAATATCAAGCCCATGACATGTCTCTTTTTTGGAGGGGAAAAAATCAGGAGCCTCTACTTGGTACTCGTGGGAGCAACTGTAAGCTAAAAATCAAACATGAAAAGTGTGAAACTTCTACTCCTGTGATTCATAAGGGTAGGCATGGGTGGCAGAATGTTCCATAAGGACACTTCTTCCCAGGTCTCATGTTTGCACGTGGAACAGCTTTCACTCGAGTGGTGGTTGTCAACCTTGAGCCTATATTAGAATCACCTCCGGAGCACCTGGGTGGCTCAGTCGGTTGAGCATTCAACTTTGGCTCAGGTCGTCTCGTGGTTTGTGAGTTTGAGCCCCACATCAGGCTCTGTGCTGACAGGTCAGAGCCTAAACCCTGCTTCAGATTCTGTCTCCTTCTCTCTCTGCCCCTCCCCTGCTTGTTCTCTCTCTCTCTCTCTCTCTAAAAAATAAACATTAAAAAAAAAAAAAAGAATCACCTCTGAGCATGTTGGACACAGAATGCTATGTCCCCAAAAATGCCATTTTTCTGGGAGTTGGACCTAAACTTTGCATTTCCAAAAGTTCCCAGGTGACACTGATGCTGCTAGTCCCGGGCTCACAGACGAATTCTTCTCCCTCTTGCAACCCAGCCATTCACTTAGAAGAGTGAGTGAGACTTATCTGCCTACTGGGTTTGAGAGAAGGAGCTGACCATCCTTTTCTTTCTTCCCACCCCTCCTTGGCTGCAGAGTGCGCTCAGGTCTGTGTTCCAATTACTTCATTGGTAATAGAGGCGACAGGCTGACCCTCATGTTTTTCTCCTGCACCTGCCAATGGATTTCAAACCTGATGGGAATGAGCATATTTATGTATTGGGTT